TCCCTGCTGCAAAGTATTTCAGCTGGCAGTTTATTTCTTTACACCCATTTTGTAGACAGACATCACAGTTGGCAAAACCTCCAAGAGCATTTTTAAGAAGCTCCCTATTTTTTTTAATATTTCTTTCACCATTTTTCTACCCCATAAACAGAATTCTAATTACATCTGCAATTCTGCCTCTCACTCTTAAAGCCTTTCAGTTGCAGATTAGCAATTACTGATCATGGTGCTCTGATTAGACTCCTAAAGCAGGTTGACTCAGGATAAGTGATTGCACAATGTTAATCACATCATGTCTGAGAGCACCATTGGTTGTCCCAAGGCAACAGTAAAACCACAGGCAACGAATGAAACATGAACACGTTTCTGCTGCTCTTGTTTTGGCACATTGTACAGCAGAGGTAAATCAATAATCAAAACAGCTGCAATAGCAATGTGATATTTTCACACTAATGTAGAATGAAATGAGATTATCTGGTTTTTGAAGACATTAAAACGTTTTCAAAGGCACAGTCTTCATGGAAAAAAATAACCTTAAAAACTACAGAAAACTGAATATGATCCTTTCCATAATTACTTATTTTCATACATAACCTGTGCTATCATAATATATCCTACCCCATTTAACACAAATTATGGTTCATAACCTACATCACAGGATGCAAAAACTCTTGTTGCTCTTGTTGAAAGACAAAGGTATATCTCAGTCGAGGAATGCCAAATAAACCAAAATATTTTTGTTATATTCTGGTCAGCAGAGGATGTGGACACACAATTTACAGTTGCAAGTTCCAGTTGTACATTCTCATTCACTGCTGAGCCTTCATAGAATAGGTTTGTGCTGTGCCCATTTGAGTTTCACCTACATTGCCTCTTCAAACTGATGGGTGTGTGTCTGTATTTATATATGTTTACATGCACACATCAAGGCAAAAAAGGACTCTGAGGATTATTTGTCTATGCTTCCTACTTAACAGAAAGCATAGTGACCACACAGTACTTTCCCTCACCCAATGACATAAACCAATGAACAAGAAAAGGAATCAATAGATGAGGTTTATGATTAATTCTCAATTTGTTTTTACTTATCCCCTATTAGAGCTTAGAAGTCTAAGGAAAGATTTTCTTTCTTGTTGATTTTCTAGAGAGCTTATTTTACTATTATTTATGAATTAATTATTTTAATATTATCACAGTACCTAGCCAGCAGCTCTGCAGAGGCAGCAGCACTCCCAGGGAAGCACTGCTTGATGAAGCCTTTAGACATCAAAACTTGAAATGAGAGAATCCCAACTCTTCTCTGCATCTTTTCTCTTACAAGAAATATACCATGGAAGATTACAGTGAATTACTCCAACACTACAAGATCTTTTAGTTCTGCTTATCAGATATTAACCTAACCACGAAGCTTATATCAAAATTGCCTTTAATGTATCTGTTCTTTCTCTTCCCTGCTGCTGTTGCAGAGGGGATAAAGATACTTTGCTTTGATTTATTTCTAAGAGGCTCAATTTCTGTGGCTCTCTCAGCTTCAGAACTTTTGCCTCCTCAGTGCTTCAAAAAAGTCATTGAAACTTGCTCCCTTTTTAACTGCCTTCTTTCCTCTGTCTGTTTTATTTAGCATCATGCCCTGTATCTACTTTATCAGCTATAATGGTAGAACAAAACTGTCCCAGAAGCACATACTGAAGAGGAATATCTAAGGAGGAAAAAAATTCCCTTCCAAAGTATTACCTTTTTATTGCTGCTTATGTGCAATTCTGAGCTTTTCTCCATTTCCTTTTTGACAGCTTCCTGAAGATCAGAGGCTTGTTGTGCATATCTTAATGCTGTCAGTATCTCATCTTCTAACAGTTTTATGTCTTCATAGGAAATTGGCCATCCCAAATTCTCTAGAGCCTCCAGCAAAGCCTCTTTATGATGCATGTATTGAACTGGCCCATTCTCTTTAAATCTAAAAAAAAATGTATTTTTACAAAATGAGTAGGTACAAAATCACAGGTAGGAAAAATTTGAATTCTATAATTATTTTACAAATAGAATCACAAAGCCTAAAGGCAGAATAAAGCATCAGAATCATCCAATCTATCTTCTGTATGCCACAGGTCCTTGTGTTTCACCCAGATACTCTGGTGTTTAATCAAATAATCACATCTGGCACAACCATATCTCAGAGAAAGACACCTACAGAGCAATTCAAGTGGCTGAGCATAGGTGCCTGGTGTCATGTGTGAGGCATCAGCAAAGAATTTGCAGACACAGCTGAGAAACTGTGGAAATCCCTGGCCCTCCTGGAGCAGCAGGTAGCGTGGTTAGCACCTAGACAACCTAAAATGGCACTAGACACCCACCAAGTCCAGATTTGTCACATCAGTCTTGACTGATCACATAAAAAGAGACAATCTCCTGCTGTTTATTGCTCTGCCAGTCCTGTACTGCTCCATTTCACACAGGGATCAGGTGTTTTGCTTCCATTTGTGATTCAGATGATGTCAGTGTCCACTGGACTAAACAGCCAGTTTGAACCCACACTTACACACCAAAAGGTGAAATGGATAGTCAACTTATTAACAGAGAAAATGACAACAAACTGAACCTTCCAAACTCCAGAACAGGCAGAATTAGTTGCATCTTCAATTGGCAGCAACATACTTGTTTTTAGTCCTCTAAAAGCAGCTCTTTTGTGCCCCTGATCATTCAAATTGTAAACTCAGAAGAGGAATAGATCAAATTTCTATACTCTACAACTCATTGTCTATCAACAGACACCTCCTTCCTTTTCTTTTTTAACTTTATACACTGTTCTTTTGTTTACTAGTCCTCATTTCCTCTCTGCACCAGAATGTGGTTATAGTTCTCCTTAGTAATGATAGAACTGTGGGTTGTTTTTCATTCATTAGCTTAAGTTTTCTAAAGAGCATTCTAGTTTTCATTCCCATTTTTCTGCCTAGGAGTATTTCAGGCCCATTCAGTTTTCATTGGGGCTGTTCAGCCTGGAGAGGAGAAGGTTGTGTGGAGACCTCAGAGCAACTTCTCAGTATCTGAAGGGCCTACAAGGAGCCAGAGAGGGACTCTGTGTCAGGAACTGCAGTGACAGGACAAGGGGAAATGGGTTCAGACTGAAGGAGGGAAACTCTAGGTTGAATGTGAGAAAAAATGTTTTTTCCTGTTCTGGTGGTGAGACCCTGTCCCAGGTTGCCCAGGGAGGCTGTGGCTGCCCCAACCCTGGCAGTGTTCACAGCCAGGTTGGATGAGCCTTGAGCAACCTGATCTAGGAGATGTCCCTGCCCATGGTAGGGGGGGTAGGACAAATTATCTGTAAGGTCTATTCCAACCCCTAAATTCTATGATTCCATGATTCTATGATCTTCACTTTATTCTCTGATATAAACAGATGCTAACTTAACCAATGTCAGCCCTGTTTATACAGGCACTAGTTCCCTAAATGGATCCACAGAAATAGGCTAGTTAAAGTGATACAAAGCTCCAGTGTGATACACAGCTCCAGGACATGCTGTTAAGGTTCCTATTACACCTTTACAAAACAGCCACTGGAGTGCTCTTTGACAGATGAGAGAAGATTTACTTCCATGCCAAAGGCAATGACATGCTGCCCTCCCAAGGCTCTGCCACTTGACACTGTTAAGAATAGATCAGCAGCATTCCAATGGAATGCAAGTCCTTTCCTTTAAAAACAACCAGCACCACAAGAACGAGGTCCAGAATTTACCATTACTCCATATCACATATACATTTCTGAAAGCAAAGTATAATTATGAAATAGCTGGAAATTAAAGCAGTTGGTTACAGAAATAATGATAAAAGACTATCAAATATCTATGACCAGCCCTTCAGAGGTAAGCTAGAAAACCAAAAGTGGTAGCTTACTTGTCTCTTTCCTCCTGAGGCAGTGCTCTCCAAACAACTAGGTTTAGGCGCCTGTTAAAGAAAGCAGAGCAGGTTTTGAGGGAATGCAGCTCCTTGTGCTGCTAATCATCTCAGAACTAGCAAATAAACACAGTTTCTCAAGATATCTGCACTGATTTGTATTCCAAGAGCACTGTATCATCAAATTGCACCCTTATCATTCAGCTATGAAATTACCAACTGCAAAAGAAGATGGGAAAACAGCATTTTCCATCAAGTAGCACTGTGACTATTTCAGGGTCATTGAAGGTTTAATGGCAATCACTGCTGCTTCCTGCCAGGAGTTTCTATGGGTGATTCTCTTCACCAACAGCAAGTTAAATCAAATAATAAAACTGATTAAACGCCAGTTAAGCTGCACAGTCCCTCCAATTAAACAGGTTCAGGAACCAAAGCCTGAATGTAGTAATGCTAATTTTATTTCTTCTCTCTGCTAAGATTACTCCTCAGTTGTGCCATTCAGGTTTCTAATTCATTACACTCTGGCTATGAAGAAAGGACAGGAACCCAGAAGAAGTGATTATCCCAAAGCAATGCAGTTCTGTGATCTTTTAAAAGCACCCACTAAACTTTCTGCTGTTGTTTGTTAGACATAAATTATAAACTCTTACTAGGTCATCTAGCTTATGTTGTTCTCTAATACCATCTCAAACAATTCAGCCATCACTCAATTGCTTCATTTCATACTACAGCAATAAACCTCTACCAATGAACCTAATTGCTGTAATTCTAAAACCGAAATCCAAATTTCCTTTGGAATATGAGAATAAATGAATTGCTAGGAAAAATTCAGATTGTAACCATTAGACTATTAACACTCTTGCCATATTTACTGGTGAAAGTACAAAAAAGCTCCAACACATTCACAACAGATTTTGAATATGAATTTCTTGATGATTCATTTTATCGGCTAGAAACCAAATCCCAGCATTTTCAGAATGTAAATTACTTAGTTTATTCACAATCTGTAGTCTCAGCATGCTCCACTGCCTATTTCATCCTTCTAAATGTGCACACTATTAAATAACTCATTTGTAAAAGTTTCTGGCTATGCCAAATCATACAAATTATGAAGCTTCCAGTATTTTTCTCCTTCAATACTGTATATTCTCTTTGTCAGAGCACAAAATTTCTGCCCTCACCACTTTTCTCTCTCTAAACCTAGCACCATGGGGCAGATATTGTCGTGTTTGCTTCTGATCTTGAAACCTGCATGCTCTGATGTATAGTTTCATCTGTAAGGACATGGAACTGTTAGAGCAAGTCCAGAGGAGGCCACAAAGTTGCTCAGAGCACTGGAGCATCTCCCCTATGAGCACAGGCTGAGGGAGTTGGGGCTGTTCAGCCCGGAGAAGAGAAGGTTGTGTGGAGATATCAGAACAACTTTTCAATATCTGAAGGGGCTACAAGGAGCTGGAGAGGAACTCTTTGTTAGGAGCTGCAGTGACAGGACAAGGGGAAATGGGTTCAGACTGAAGGAGGGAAAGTCTAGGTTGGATGTGAGAAAAAAGATTTTTCCTGTTCTGGTGTTGAGACACTGTCCCAGGGTGCCCAGGGAGGCTGTGGCTGCCCCAACCCTGGCAGTGTTCACAGCCAGGTTGGATGAGCCTTGAGCAACCTGCTCTGGTGGGAGGTGTCCCTGCCCAGGGCAGGGGTTGGGGCTGGATGATCTCTAGGGTCCATTCCAACCCCTAAATTCTATGATTCTATGATCTATATATGTCAGAATGAATCTGTGACCAATCACTATTTACAAATCTGAACAGAGATCTTTTCAGATTCAATGTCTAGAAAAATACTGTGGCATTTAAAGCAAAATAAATCTGAGTGGGTTTCTGTTTTACATGTAGAGGAAAAGCAACGAGATCTCTGTTTTACATTGTCAGTGATAAGGCTCTTCAGACAGATCTGTCTTCTAGACATCTTTTTCACAGAAGTAGGAACTCAATCCTATTATTTTAAATACACTGATTCATTGACCTCTAGGAGAAAACATAAGGAAAACAGGCTCTTAAACACCAGAGTCCTAAGGAGACTGTCAGTAGA